AATTTTGTTGGCAATTTGACTATTAAGTTTTGGGAGAATGGCTATATCAAAACTATGACTTGGCGCTTAAGTATAAACTATATACTAAAATGTGCTTTTTTTGGGTCGTTTTACCATAGCATTGAAAGCAAATCCAGCTTGTCCAATGTATTTGTCGCAAAGTTTCAGGTGGTCATCCACTAGGCATCAAAGCATGTTACCCAAAGTACGATTATCACTTCCATTTGTTAGTTTGTTTGAGGGTGACATACCGAGCTAAGACTGATTTTAGTTTGTAGTTGTTTCATAATTCTCCCGGAAAATAACAAATGAAATTAACATCTCAATCTGAAATGAAGTTCGTGAAGGTAGATGACTTCCTTAAGAAGGGCATGGCTGCAGTTAATGTGTATAATCTTCCTTTACGGGCTATAGAATGTGCCAATTTACTGAACCAATCGACTACAACCATAATCAAATCAGCCCCCTATTTAGTGCAAGTCCTAATACAAAATCAATGTTAAGGTTCCCAGATAGAATTAGAAATTGGTAAAGGTGCATAAATTCTAGTGTTTGGCCATGCACATTTGAACTGTTGGCAAGCAAATCACCTTTCCACAAAATCGACACATATCCCTTCATAATTTCGGCCAATAGAATCAGCTTGTAATATCTATAGAAATTTCTCTGTTCTGGTATGAGAAGCGAAGCCACCATTGTGACATTCCTTGATGAGTTGAAGACAAAGTGAAGTACATGGTATGCATTTTTGATTACCTTCAAAAAGATAGACGTGCCGAATCAAAGTCACCAAACAAGAAATGATTGTTGCAGTTTTCCTAGAAATTGGCGAAGTACAGATCACTCATGTAGAGTTAATGCAATGACTCCAAGACAGTTATACTTTTTTATACAACTACAAGAAGACTAGCACGCTTGCTTAGAGCATCAACCCCTGGTTGCCACTGCCTGCTTGGTGCTTCAAAACGAAGTTGAAATTTTATAGAAATACCACCCATCTAACATGCATTTGATTGAAGTTGCACTGAGATTGGAGAAATTATAAAAGTCTGTTGATCACTGAGAAGCACGAATCCTTGATTAAGTAGATAGTGCTCCAAGTGCTTTAAGGCTCTAATTGTTGTTGTGAGATCTATAGATAAATCAAACAGGAGGGAGAACGATTGACGAAGCGAAAAATAGAACGAGAAAAATCACACCAGAAAAGAACACACAGATTTACGTGGTTCGGCAAAATGT